CAGCAAAATGGAATTCTGTAACTGTTTTAAATAGTGCATCAGGTGGCACTTTCCCTCTTGTCATACACACCCCACAGAACAGCAGCCTCTCCCATGTGAGCGGGGAGCAGCCCTTCATGAAGCCCTTTGCTTTCTCCATCCTGCCCCTGCCACCAGAGGCCCCTGGCTGTGAGAAGGGAGAGCAGGGAGTCACTGGTGTTACTGGTGGAAGGGTTGAGTGTTGTTTCCGGCTGCCCCTCGTGCACCGGGGGTTTGGAATGAATCTTTGCTGAGGCTCCTGCCTCCATGTGAGCGGGGAGCAGCCCTTCATGAAGCCCTTTGCTTTCTCCATCCTGCCCCTGCCACCAGAGGCCCCTGGCTGTGAGAAGGGAGAGCAGGGAGTCACTGGTGTTACTGGTGGAAGGGTTGAGTGTTGTTTCTCCCCTGATCTCACCAGCTCCGGCTGGACGAGGCCCAGGAAGCGGAATGCCAAGCCCTGAGACTGCAACTCCAGCAGGAGATGGAGCTGCTCAACGCCTACCAGAGCAAAATTAAGATGCAGACAGAAGCACAGCACGAAAGGGAGCTCCAGAAGCTGGAGCAACGGGTGTCGCTGCGCAGGGCGCATCTGGAACAAAAGGTACGGTTTGGGTGGGCTGTCGGGGGGAAGGGGGTACCTGGTCACACAGAAAGCCCCCCACATCCTGGGCTGTGTCCCCAGCAGGGCAAGGGGGGGATTCTGCCCCTCTGCTCTGGGGGAGACCCCACCTGGAATGCTGCCTCCAGATCTGGAGTCTTCAGTGCAGGAAGGACATGGAGCTGTTGGAGTCGGGCCTGAGGAGGCCACGGAGATGCTGGGAGGGCTGGAGCCCCTCTGCTGTGAGGACAGGCTGAGAGAATTGGGGGGTTCAGCCTGGAGAAGAGAAGGCTCCAGGGGGACCTTAGAGCCCCTTCCAGTCCCTCAAGGGGCTCCAGGAGAGATGGAGAGGGACTCTGGATGAGGCAGGGGAGTTAAAGGACGACGAGACGGATTTGACCATGCAAGAGGGGAGATGGAGCTGAGCTGTGGGGAAGAACTTTGCTGTGAGGGTGGTGAGAGCCTGGCCCAGGTTGCCCAGAGCAGCTGTGGCTGCCCCATCCCTGGAGGGGTTCAAGGGCAGGTTGGAGGGGGCTTGGAGCAACCTGGTCTGGTGGGAGGTGTCCCTGCCCAGGGCAGGGGGTTGGAACTTGATGATCTTTAAGGTCCCTTCCAACCCAAACCATTCCATGACTCTACACGTGCCGGTCTCTCCCGGGGCGCGGGGCTGGGGCCCAGAGTTTGGTGGCCGGGGCGTTGTGGCGCTGCTGACTCTGTCTCTCTCAGATCGAGGAGGAGCTGGCGGCCCTGCAGAAGGAACGCAGCGAGAGGATAAAGTTTCTGCTGGAAAGGCAGGAGCGGGAGATCGAGACGTTCGACATGGAGAGCCTGCGCATGGGCTTCGGGAATTTGGTCACATTAGAATATCCCAAGGAGGACTATAGATGAGATTTAGATTTCTTTGCCATTTTAAACAAAACAAAAAAAGACAAAAAAAAAGAAAAAAAGCAAACAAAATAAGGATGCAACTTGCAAAACCAACATTCCCCATGTGAACGGGCGTGCTCTCTCTCTTTCTGTCTCTCTCACTGACATCGTGTCGGATCAGTGCCTGTATATTCTATACTCCGTCGGGGGCCCCCGTCCCCGCCTCCCCTCCCGGGGCAGGGGGGGCTCCCGGCGGCCTCTTCCATCCTCCGTCACCGTCTCGATGTCTCTGTGCGATGATTAAAAATGTTGCAGTGAAAAAAACAAACAAAAAAAAAACAAACACTTTTTTTGGAGACGATTTTTTAATGGAGAAAACAAAAAAACCAACAAAAAAACCCGACCCCACCAAGTTGGATGTACGTTGCTTTGGAGCAATCACTCGTTTTTACCGCCAATCGATGAAAGTACAAGCAAAAAAAAAATATAATTAATAATAATAAATAATAATCAAATGATATATAACAAACCCAGGGGGAGAGAGACTAAATCCGCAGCCTTACCTTAACTAGCTGCTGCATAATTTTATTTTATTTTTTATTTTTTTGGTATTTATTCATCAGGAATAATTAAATAATAATAATAAAAAAAAATTTTATTAAAGATTGAAAAAATTTGATACATTTTACAGGAAAAAAAAACACAAAAAAACCTTAATCGTGCTG